GGACGCGTCGAGTAGCATTGCAAAAGGATTGTATTTGTATCGACATGGACGCCGAGCGCACTGCGAGAAGTACACGAATTAGTCTACTCGTCGGAGACGCGGTCGGACGCCGATGGACACGGTCAACGACACGATGTTATATATAAGCTCGACCAGTCTTAGATGGTCTTGTTGCGCATCGAGGCGACGTCAAAGCCGGGCATGTTGAACTTGGTCGCGAACGCGTTGACGTCGGAGCGGAGCGCCTTGACGCCGGCGTGCGATTCGAGCGCCTTGTTGAAGTCGACAATCTTCTTGCCCGTCGTCGCCTGGATCTCGAGGCAGAGCTTGACCGCGCGGTGGAGGAAGCCGGCGACAGTGACAAAGTCGGCCTCCTTGAAGCCACGCGACGTCAAGGCCGGCGTGCCGACGCGGACGCCACCGGGCGTGACAGCGCTGCGGTCACCGAGCACCGAGTTCTTGTTGAGCGTGATGCACACTTCGTCGCAGAGCTTCTCCATCTTGGAGCCGGTAATGCCAACGGGGCGGAGATCCCAGAGAAGCAAGTGGTTGTCGGTGCCGCCCGTCGAGAGCACGTAGCCGTACTCGACAAGCGCGGCCGCGATCGCACGGCAGTTGGCCTTGACCTGCTTGGCGTACGCCTTGAACTCGGGCGTCATGACCTCCTTGAGCTGCGTCGCGATGGCCGCGATCTGGTGCTCGTGCGGGCCGCCCTGGAGCGCCGGGAACACCGCCTGGTTGATCTTGTTCTCAAAGCCGCGCGCGTCCTTGCGGAAGAAGATCATGCCGGCGCGCGGGCCGCGAAGACTCTTGTGCGTCGTCGTCGTGACCACGTCGCAGAGATCGAACGGGCTCGCGTGCTCCTGGGTCGCGACGAGGCCCGAGTAGTGGGCCATGTCGCACATGAGGAGCGCACCGTTGTCGTCGGCGATCTTGCGGAACGAAGCGTAGTCCCAGTCGCGCGGGTACGCGCTGCCACCGCAGACAATCATGGCAGGCTTGAAGAGAGCGGCGGTTTCCGCAAGCTTCTCAAAGTCGACGAGGCCCGTCTCGGGGTGGACGCGGTACGGAAGCGACTCGAAGTAGACCGAGGTCGCCGAGACGGCCTTGCGCGTGTTCTCGGCCTTGGAGTACGTGTAAAAGCCGTGGGTCAAGTGGCCGCCACTAGGCAAGTCGAGGCCCATGATGCGGTCGTGCGGGCGGAGGAGCGCCGTGTAGACGGCAAAGTTAGCCGGCGAGCCCGAGTACGGCTGCACGTTGACGCCCCACTCTTCGGGGTTGAGGCCATACGCCTTGAGCGCGCGCGTCTGGCAAAGCGTCTCGATCTTGTCAATGACCTCGTTACCGCCATAGTAGCGCGCGCTCGGGATGCCCTCGGCGTACTTGTTGGTCAAGCACGAGCCAAGGCAGTCCATGACGGCGCGGGACGTGAAGTTCTCGGACGCGATGAGCTCCAAGCACTTCCACTGGCGGTTCTTCTCGGCCTCAATGAGGTTGAACATCTCCGGGTCGTGCTGTTCCAAGCTGATGTTACCGGAGGCCGACATGGTGAGGAAGAGGAGGCTGCTGCGACGAAGGAGGCAAAAGGCAAAGTGAGAAGATCGAAATATCGATGGGGCGCCCACCCGTTTTTCGAAGCGGGCAGGATGGTGCAAGGCCATTGGCCAAAATGAAAAAGATATCGTTGGCTCCTCCAATCATCCTTCGTTTAGAAAAGATCCCTAGTGTGATTAGGTAAGCGGATGCGCATTAAATTTCATTGTATTTTTATACCACCAAGTAATCTTCCATACAACCGCCAAGTGAAGGCCGACGAAGACCGCTGGCAACCGAATTAAATGACGATGGAAAAGCATCACCAGGAATTAAATGGCACATCAACGGTATACGCATCCGCCGCCGAACGCATCGGGAATTCGTGGCCGGGGCCAAATGTATGGTAATCTTCATGCGGTGCTGCCACGTCGTACGGCGTCATCGCATCCCTTCCCGAGCTCCGTGCACAGACCTCATGGCATGCGCTTGCTCGTCGACCTGGCAGGTAGCTTTGTCCCGCTGGGCTAGTGCGTGATGGGTGCGACATGGCACCCGGCGTGGCACGCCAAGGCGCACGGTAACTCTTGTGGCCGCCGATGCGCGCGTCGGTGGCCATCTAGGCACGTGCTCGCGTGACTGGCCATGAGGCCGTGGTATTCTTGACGTGGCGCCACGAACGCGAGCCACCTCATTTGTGACTTGCGCATTCGCTCCGGCGCTACAGTCGACGGTTGTCGTCGGGTCACTGGCAAAGCTCTGGCATCGCATTTCACCAAGAAACAACAGCAGAATGAGAATGAGAGGAACACGTCTTAACGCTGTTTGCACAGAAGTCTGATGTACACGCGAGCGCCGTCCTACTGCTGGGCGGTCGTGATGTAGTGGACAAGGTCGATGCGCGTCGCAATGTGCGAGACGCGGTCGTTGGCGTCGCACACGAGCGTAAAGAACTCCTTGTCAAACGTCTCGGCGAGGTCCGCGAGCGTCGCAGTTGGGAGGACGCGGCTAAAGTGCTGGAACATGCCGACCGACACGCTGTCCTTGGCGGCGAGGCGGCCGGACGCGAGCTTGGAGAGGAGCTGGCCGTTGGTGACGACGCCGAGGAGCGTCCCGCTCGCATCGACGACCGGCATTTGGTCAAACCCATTCGCTTCCATGACGCCGATCGCGTCCTTGCACGAAATGGTCGGGAGCAACGTCTTGGCCGTCGGGAGACTCAGCACCGAGAGCGGCTTGGCGGCCCACCACGTCTGCATCGACTTTTTGAACTTCGCATAGTTGTCGGCCGTGTGGAGCGTATCCTCGACAAAGTCGTTCTCATACATCCACTGGTCGTTGAGGAACTTGCTCATGTAGTTGCGCGTCGAGTCGGCGAGGAGCACGACGCAGCGCTGGCCTTCCTTGAGTGTCGACGCCGCCTGGATCGCCGCCGCCATCGTCGCGCCGCACGACCCACCCACGAGGAGACCTTCCTCGCGGATGAGCCGGCGCGCCATCACAAACGACTCTTGGTCGCGCGTCTTGACCCACTGGTCGACGAGCGACCGGTCGAGCACTTGCGGAATGAAGTCGTAGCCAATGCCTTCGACCTTGTACGGCTGGAGACGGTCTTCGTTGTTGAGCGCCTCGGGCTGCGCGAGGATCGACCCGACGGGGTCAACGCCGACGACAATGATGTTGGGGAGCCGCTCCTTGAGCTTGCGCGCAATGCCCGAGATCGTGCCGCCCGTGCCCGCGCTGCATGTCATCCATGAGGATATGGTGGATGCGTATATGAGCAGTACCTCAGCACGACCATGTCGATCTTGTTGTCGCATTGGTACAAGAGCTCTTCAGCCGTCACGTGGTAGTGTGCGTTCGGGTTGGACGGGTTGGTGTACTGGTAGCCGTATATGAGAAGTGGACCAGGCACCAGAAGGTAGTGTTACCTGGTCGAGAATGTGCGAGTTCTTGATCTCTGCGTTCAAGCGCTTGGCGACACCGATGTGGCTCTCGGGCGAGTCCCAAGCAGCTTCGGTCGGCGTGCGAATGATCTCGGCGCCGAGTGCCTTGAGCACGTTGACCTTCTCCGCGCTCATCTTTTCAGGAAGCGTGATGATGCAGCGGTAGCCCTTGATGGCCGCAGCCAGCGCCAAGCCAATGCCTACGCGAGTGGTCAGCAATGCTGTTGTCGTGCGGCCATCGTACCCGTGTTGCCCGACGTCGGCTCGATGAGCGTGTCACCCGGCTTGATGCGGCCGCTGGCTTCGGCGTCCTCGACCATTTGGCGGCCAATGCGATCTTTCACCTGCGCATAGCCATGAGAGCTCACAGGACCGTGGGCTGTCACGCACCGAGCCACCGGCGTTGAAGAACTCGCACTTGGCGAGGAGCTCGCACTTGAGGCCGGCCTTCTTGCCGATCTTGTTGATGCGCACCAAGGGCGTGTCACCGACGTGGCGCTATGCATGCGCATGAGCCATCGTAGCATCTTCCATGGTCATAGCTACGAGGATCGTGGGAAGGATCGCCGGGCGATCGAACGGCTTCTGGTACGTCGTGGTCATGGTCGAAATGATCTTGTGTGGTGCACCTGCTTTTGTATCCGCTTATCCGAACCAATATCCGGATACCACCCAGCTCTTGCCCACTTCAACCTGCCAGGATCCTTCCTGGCTTCAGCTGTGGCCGTCGGGCGACCTGTCGTCGACGCTGCGTCTACCGCCGAGGTGCTTGTGCGATGTCTCGGGCGCCAACGCCATACATGTAGTGTGCGTGGAAGGACGAAGGGCGTCGACAGTGTTGCTACCGTGCCTCCAGCAGTGTCCCAGATCTTAGATAAGAACTGCGTCTTCTTATCTAATCCAAACGGCCAGCGCGGCCACCGCGCGATGGCGCAGGATAAGGATATGTGCACGACCCTGCGACGTATGTGTACGGTGTAGCTACTACTACTCTTGCAGCGGATCCTACTCGCACGGCCAAGTCCGATGGCCCACACTGCGAGCTGCGATATGCGTCCTATCAGCTGCGGTGGCAGCCGGTCCACGAGGGCCTAGCTCGAGGGCCTTGGCCGGCTCGGCGTCGATCCCACGCCCTCGTACATGGCAGCCTGTCGCCCATGTATACACGGCGTAGGACCTGTCTACCGCATCGTCGGTGCTTTGTCCAGCCTCCAGCGCCGCCTCAGTGCGTGCCAGTGGAGCACCTACGCCACGCCTGTTACCAACGCGAGCAATTTAATACATTTCGTGGGCGTAGACTTGGGTTTTGTAGGTGGAATTGAGCAAACGCAAAACAAGGCGGAATTTGAAGCCATCAACCAAGCGTGTCGGCGACGCTCCTTGTATGAAACGAAGGAGCACAGAGTCCGACGTCAGCCGCGCCACGAAGCCTCGCCTCATGACCGCCATGCCCGACCCGACCAAGGACGAAGAGGACGAGACGTCGCCGCCGTCGCCCGTCGAGAAGGACTCGGGCGCACCCGAGAACGAAGACGACCTCGTCGACTTTGTCGTGCTCCGCGTCGACGAGCTACAAGCGCCGGCGACCAACTTTAGCTGGAGCCCACGCCTCATATCGGCGTCGTGGCAAGTCAAGTACACGGCTGTCGAGACGCTGCGGCAGACCATCAAGTTTGACCCGGCGTACATTCAAGGCGACGATGCCCACATGTACTGTGCATGCAATGGTGTCTAGGCGAGCTGACCATGCGATAGCATTGATGCCACCAAGGACCTCGTCGTGCCCAGCGCACTTGATTTGCGCTCAACACTGGCGCGCAACGCGCTCCTCTGCCTCGGCGAGCTCATCCAATGCACGCCGCAGTCGGCTCTTCTGTCCGTCGTGATCCCCGCCCTCCTATATCGGTCCGTCACGGACAAGAAGTTTATGCAGAGAGTCGCCACGACCGTACGCCCGCTTTATCTGCTGCGTCGACGAAGACCTTATGCTGCGTAGGCGCTGGACCACACGGTGCGTTGCTGCGACCCGCTCGACGTGCTCTCGGAGCTCTTGCCGTTCGCGACCGACAAGAACGCCCAGCTCGTGACCAAAGTACTGCTTGTTTCAAAGTATCGAAGTATCAATCGGGAAGTGTAGGCTGGGACCTACGTCGAACAGTGCCTGCTCAAGAGCCTCGCGCAGCCATGGGAAGCCGCGCAGCTGCACGCATGGATCACACCGCTCGCCAACTTTCTCAACTGCCGCGACGTCCACGGCAAACCCGCGGCGAAGCGCTGCCTCATGCTCCTCCGCAAGACGTTTGGGGTCCGTTCGCGTCCAAGTCCTCCGTTTTGTATGTAGCGCTGTGTAGGATGTGGCATTTGAAGCCGCTGTCGACGCGCAGCTCAGTGGCATCACTCGTGCCGATGTTCTCAAGGTCTCGACGGCCGCCGCCCGAAGCTCGAGTATCGTACGGGTGCACCCGGGCCAAAAGAAGGGCGCCAAACTCAGCACGCGGTCGGGCCCGAGTCTCAAGGAGCGCCTGCAACAACAGCAACAGGCAGCAAAAGCGACGCCAGTACCTAAGTCGCCGTAACGACACGAGCTCAAACACATTGCGTTGGCTTGCATTAGTGCGGCACAAAGGCGCTCGGGTCGATCGCAGCGATCGCGAGTGCATGCGCCGGCACACGGACGACCTCGACGCTGACCCCGGCGCCATTGGACGTTTGCAGCTCGAGCGATGGACCGTAAAACGAGCCAAGAGACAGCTGCAAGACTAGCGCGTTGAACGACGACGAGAGCACGATAGCCGATGCAGTGGCGAGCCCGGCAAGGAGGCCTGGTAGCTGCGCGGGGGCGGCCGACGCCGGCGCAATCGTTCCGACGGGCAAGCCGCCCACGAAGACGGACAACGAGACGTTGTCATTCGGGCTTGGAATCGTCACCGAGAGCACGAGTGGTGACGATAGAAGCGTCATTTGGAGCCCGAGGTCCACGCGGGCCGTCACGGGGCAGCCGGCGACGTCACGGGCATTCATTGTTGCGAGGTACGACCGCACGCCCCGAGCATCGATGGCGACTGCCGTCGTCAAGACCCCTTGCCAATCCAGTGGAAGCGACAGGGTGGAGCCAGGCGGCTGCCAAGTCATGGCCTCGGTGGCCAACGCGATGGCCGAGGCCACTTGGCGCAGGAGCAGCGGACAGCTGCCGATGCAGCCGTCAATCGGACGCTGCAAGGCAACACATGTGCCTACGAAACATGCTAAGACACCAAAGCGTAGTGCGTGACGTACGGTTGGGCGTCGCCGCTGCGCTCACGGGTACGTTGGGTGATTCAAACGCTTGGTACGGGAACCCGAACCGCGTCGTGTTGAGCGGTGCGACGTACACCAGTAAGCGCGGTGGCTGCAGCACCGACGACGCCGTCACCGACAGTGTCGGCAAGTGACGTGTCGCATAGTTGGCAAACGTTATAAACAGCGTGGCGTCGTCCATCGACGATATCGTGACGTCTGCGATTGGTGCAAAGAACGTCGAGAGGACGTCCGAGGCGTTGCTGGGTGCAATGGTCAGCGACGTCGACGTCGGCCTGTCCACTGTCAGCGTGCGTGTGGTAGCGTTGACGACGCTTAGGGACTGGACGCCGACGACGCTCCGTAGCGCGAGCATGCGACCTTGCACAATGTCGCTATAGGTCGTCACGATCGGGCACGCATGGTGGAGAAAGCAGTGCATCGCCGCCAAGAAGAGCGTCGTGTCGGCGCTACTTGCAGTGTCGACGCACGCCGTGACCGCGTCTGTGACGTCGATCGATGCAAACACTGGTTGCGTCGAGAGCTGGGCGACTGCGGATGCGAACACCGCCTCCTTGCAGGTAAGCAGCGGCGCGCAGCTATCGAGGCTGCGACAGGCGGCTGCACAGCCAACACACAGCGCTACGAGCGTCGTTAGCGTGCAAGGAGAGCAACGACGGCGTACGTGTCTCGAGCACGACTGCGCTGTCGCTGGAGGAAGTGGGGTCGAGCACCAGCAGCTGCGTCGCCATCGACATCCTTGTGATCGTCGCCGGCGCCGAGCTCGATACGACCACCGGCAACGCGAGCGGCAGACGCATCAGTGGGGAAAACGTCACGGTGACTTGCGTGCCCGACGTACTCACCGCGGTGGTCACGTTCACGTAGACAGTAGGTGCGTGGACAGTGAGCGCTGTCGCTAGGGCGCCTGGCGTTGAAAACAAGCTCGACGTCGAGACGTTGAACACGCCAAACGGGTACGCCAAGAGCGTTGAAAAGTCCGTGGTCGAGTTGCTGACCCAGAGACTGTGCGTCTCGTCGCTGCTCGCACGAAGCTGCGCGCCGTGCACAGGACACGCGAACGCGGCAAGGCACGCATAGTACTTGGCCAACGCCGTATCGGACGACGGTCCGGATGGCTGCTGGAAGAGCGCCGTGGCGTCCGTCACGCCCGTTGCGATTTGAGTTTGCAGTTGCGTCATCCAGGCGGCGTTGGCTTGGTAGCACACTGGGCGGCCATAGCACGTGGCGTCGTAGTAGCGCTGGCACTGATCGCACGCTACAGGGACGTCAAGCCCATCATCAGAGTGGACGTCAAATACCGGTGGCTAGCGTTGCCCTGCACGTCGTCGTCGGTGCCGGTGCCGCAGCACTCCAGGCGATCGTTGAGCTCGGGTATAATGCTAGATAGGAAAGCGACTGCGCGCCAAGCGAGCAGCGAGCAGGCTCTGCCCCGTACTGCGCCATGACAGTCGACCAGGCCGTCGTCGCCTCGAGCTGGCTCACCACGTACCGAAGCTCGAACGTGTGAGTCAGGGCCAGCTCGAACGTCGTTGTCGTTGCGGACGTGGCGACCACTCGGACACTCTCGAGCGGACGGGCGAAGAAGGCTGCGATCGCAATGCGTTGGATGGTCGCAGCGAGCGGCGCGAGGGTATACGGGCAGTCGAGCTGCAGGTACGGGTACCACTCCCGCTTGCCCAACGATGGCAGCGGTGTGAGTGTGATGGCGTAGCCGTCCAGCGCGGCTTGGAGCGCTTCCGCATTGGCGAGGATCGTGGCAGCGTCGCCGGCGACGACAAAGTTGATGGAATTACCAAGCGACGTCGAGAGCATCGCCGAGGCGTCGGGCGGCAACGTCGTGAGCGTCAAGTCTGCAAAGACAGCAAACGACGCGTTCAAGCTCGGCTGGAGCACGCTGAGGAAGCCGTCGATGACAGGGGAGAGCGTGCTGAGCGTCACGGGATCTGCAATGCCGTACGCAACGATGTACGCCGATGGCGGCGGGCTCGAGATGCTCGACAGCGGGTACGCGGCCGTTGGATTAAGCTGCGGATACGCTGGCCACGCCGCGGCGCTATCAACATATGAGACGCAGCCGACTGCGTTCCTTCGTACGTCTGCGGCAAGGCGCTATCGCCGTTGCTGTCGGGCGTCTGCGTCAGCAGCGAGAGACGCCATGGGGATGCTGCCAGCAGCGTCTGCAGCGGCCGCGTCAGCGCCGACGTGACGACGTCAAAGGTGCTGGGCGTCACCTACGTTCGACGTGGCCTCGTCTTGGTACAAGAGGACGCGAAGACATACCCCCACAATCGCCACGGGCACGATGGTGGCTATGCCGTTGTAGACGTCGTACGGCGCTTGCACCGCGGTCGGGGCAAAGACCGATGTCGTCGACACGTTGAGCAGCTGCGCGACCGCGTGCACAAGAGCCATGCGGTGCCAAAAGCCGAGCGTTGCCCCGCGTAGCACAAGGTACCATTGCACGTACCCTGCGCTCGTCGGTCCTGAGGGTTTGGCCTCGCCGCGCAGAACCGGCGCCGCCACGAGCTACTCTCGGCCATGTGACGCCGCGTTCGACAAGAGCGCATGTTACCTGGAGCGGCGTCGCCTGGTCGAGAAGCTGGAAGCGCCGGTGGAGCGTGCTCAGCGACGTGCGCAAGCCCGTCCACACGATCGACGCGCCAAGGCCCGTGAGAAGGCTCGACCGATTGGCATCGGTTGGCAGTTGAAAACACACGTCCAAGACCACATTGCCCTTTGCGTTGAGCGACGGCGCCGTGACGTCGACGCGTCGGAGGCGGACGCTCGTCTTGACGTCCGACTGCGCGAGGAACGCCACGAGCGCGTGCGACACATTGGGCGTTGCGTGCTGAAGCTCGTCGAGGGAGACGGCTTGGGCGACGCGCAGCGACGCCTGGACGCACGGTGGCGGGCTGCGTCCATCTGTCGCTGGGCCTTGCACGACGACGAGCTCTGCGCCACCAACGCATGCGAGCAGCCATAGCAGTAGCAATAGCCCTCGTCGCTTGGCCATGGATATCCGAAATGCAACGGAAACGACCGGCGAAACCACAGAAGGTTTAGTGCACAAGCCATGAGTGCACCCCGCGCTGGCTTCATGTCGAGCTTTGACTTGACGCGCGAAGAAGAGGCCGAGCTCCACGAACATGCGCGGTCGAAAGCACCGGAGCTCATTGCGCTCGCACTGGACGAGACGAGCTACGAGTGGAAGAAGACAAAGTACGGCGTGAGCGTGACCGAAGCGACGCACGGGTCGCAGCACCTCGTGCGCAGCTCGGCGGTCGTGCACGCGCCGGCGGCCGCGCTCCTTGCGCTTCTCGAGAGCTCTGTCTTGCACGCGTACCGTAACACGCTGCGCACCATGTACCAGCAGACGTTTGCCGACGCGTCCGTGCTGTACCACAACCAGCTCAACCGGACCGAGTCGGTCGGTGTCCAGTGGCTCGCCTTTCGATGCGGCAATCCGCTCCTCTTGGACGTCGATGTATGTCTTGTTGAGTACATGCAGCACAATGCTGCGTCGGCGACGCCGCTCGACAACCAGCGAGACGGCCATGGCCTCGGCCCCGAGCACTGCCTTGGGTACAAGCTCCTCGAGTCGATTCAAACCAAGCACTGCCCGTCGCTCCTTGAGTCGCACCGGCTCGAGCGCATCGTGCTGCCCCTCGGCGGGTTCCTCCTCTTCCCGACGGCGCACGCCGACCAGACGCGCGTTGTGTTTACCGCCGGGCTCTTTCAGCCGCCCGCGGCCTTGCGCAAGACCGCAAACCGCCGGCTTTTGCTCTTGCTGGCGGCCGCGCTCCCGCGTCTTCAGCATGCCGTGAACGCCACGCGGCTCGGCGCAGCCTTAGCGTCGCGTGTGCCGTGGGTGCCAGACGAGGCCGAGACGACGTGCAAGGTCTGCGCGCGCTTCTTCTCGCACTTGCGCCGCAAGCACCACTGCCGAGCGTGCGGCCACCTCATCTGCAAGCAGTGCTCCGTGTTTCAAGACCTCGCGCTCCCGGCGACGGGCCTCACGACGATCCGCGTCTGTGCAGCGTGCGTGACGCCTACAACGACACCGAGTCTGACAAGTGCCAAGCCGACGCCGCCGCCGCTCGTGCTCGAGCTCGAGACGCCCAAGAAGGGTGGGGTCGTCGAGCGCCGGTACTTTGGCAAGCACGGCATTCACCTCCATAGTCCGACAACGCAGAGCCCAACGCGCCGCACGTCGCCGCCGCGAAGTCCGATCACGTTCCTCTCGACGCCGACCCGGCTCAAGACGCTTCCGTCGAGTCGGCCAGACCGCACGGCCACGCTGCAAGCGCTCTGCGACCTTGCGAGCACGACGCTCCAGTGCAAGTTTGCGGGCTTGTCGCTGCGGCACGGCGCCGTGCTCCAGCACTACCTCAAGGTCAACCAGAAAGGCAAGCTCCTCTCGGTGCCGAGCCAAATGGGCATTTGCAGCCCCGTGCTGAGCATCGGGGGCCCGCTCCTCGTGCTCGACACGCAAACCGAAGGCGGACCGATCGAGTGGGCCAAACTCCCAATCGTGGCCGGGCCCCAGCGCGCGCGCTTCTACGCCGGCGCACCGCTCGTCGCGGCCAACGGCGATGTGCTCGGCGCCATCTGCGTCTTTGACCCGGCGCCGCGCACCTCGATTCCGCCCAACCAACTGCGCGTCATGCAAAACCTCGCCGAACTCACGCTCGCGTCGCTCGACCCCAAGCAGGTGCGCGTCGACGATGCGCGCACCGAAGACGCGAGCGACCTCGAGGCGCAGCTGTGGCAGATGTTGCTAAAAGCGCACAACACGCAGCGCCAAGTCGTCGAGCACAACCAATCCAATGACGCCCACGCGTCACCGGCCATCCTCGGTGTCTAAGACGATAGATCATGTATCGCAGGTTGAATCCATGTATGTATCCTTCGAGTAGTATGTTGCTGTTGAATGGCATCTCAGTATGCATCCGGCGCAGTCATTTGTGAGCTTTTGCGTGCTTTGCAACCTATTGCGATACTTCAACATACACATTTGGGTCGAGTCTACGTCCTGCAATGGCGCGTGATCCATGCCCAGAGGCTCCCACTACAGCTGCTCTTGCGCATGGAGACTACTACACTCGTCGGTATACGGACGCAGGTAAACGCTGTGCGTACACTCGCAGGGTCCGAGCGTCGTTTTTTGTACATTATTGTCGCCTTTTCCGGGTATTTTTAATCTTGTGGTTTGTATGCACTTGTCGATGGCCCATCGATTCGCGTCAACGAGCGTGTGAGATTTCACCAGTTGGCAATTGCCCCGCAAGTGCGCAGGTGGGGTCATGCGTGGGCAGCTTCCGCAAGGGTATCGAATAGATACACCGTTGGCCTCAGAGCCAATCCTTTTCCCGAAGTTACGGATCTAGTTTGCCTCCCTCCCGCTGAGACTATCGAAGTTACACCAGACGTAAGGTCTCTACTACTTGTAGCCAGGTAGCCAAAGCCGAGTGCGGGTTGTCGCTTCTTTAGCGAGCGTGGATGGCGCGCTGTAGGTACATATAGGCAAGTAGAGTGTCAACTTGTCCAAACGAGACTGCAAGAAACTGTCATATTGAGCACAAAATGAGGTATACGCATAAATACTGCAACTGACATTGTCGATCAGCTGGCGTCGATCGCGCGGCCCGTCGGCTTGCGCAGCGCCTTGATGGACGCGGACGACGGCAGCGAGAGCCGCGGGCCCTTGCCTTTCGGTGGCGTCGACGGCCCGGTTTGGTTCCCAATGTCCATTTCCGGCCGCGCTTCCCGCTTTGTCACTTGGCGACCGGCCGCGCCGAGCTCGCACTGGTTGACTTGGGTCGCGAACCGGAGCGAGCAGAGCGACTCGTCAATGCTGGCGTCCGTCGGACTTAAGTTGACCATCATGAGCGTCTTGCCGTCGCCCGAGAGCGCGGGCTGCAGCACGTACGTGAGCTTGCTGTTGCGGTACGGAATGTGGTTTTGCTTCTTGGCGATTGCGCTAAAGACGTCGGCGAGCGAGCTCAGACTCTTGTTGATCGCTTGGGCTTCCTTGAGCCGGTCGCCGGTCGCGCCCGAGCGCGAGAGCCGCTCGCTGCCCGCGAGGTCCACAAGACTGAGACTGCCGAGGAGCTCGACTTCGCTGCCGTCGTCGTCGCGCTTGCTGCCGCGTAAATGCAGCGTAAAGATCGAGTGCGACCGCGACGACTCGGCGTTCATGTCGGTCTTCTCCACCGACCGGTTGCACGCCGCACGCTCCATAATGTCCTCGATCTGGTCGAGCCCGCGGCCGTCTGTGAGCGAAATCGGGTACCGAAGAAGGCCGTCGACGTAGTTTTTGCCGTTCTTGTCGGTGCGAATCGTGTACTTTTGCACCGACTCGGCAAGGAGGTCGCGGATCGTCTCGTTGTAGATCTCCATGTACGTCACCTCGAGCGTGTACTCCCAGCCTTGGTCCAGCAGCGTCGCGCAGCAGCCCATGATCTAGCAGCATTCGTCTTATGAGCCTACAACATAACACTATGGCAAACGTACGAGGTTCATCGAGCGCGGAATGATCCCACGCATCTCGGGGCGCCGGCCGCCTTGCATCTACACGTCCACCGTCCAATCGTTATCTTGATACATTGATAGATTGTACCGTATACGTCTTGCCCGAGCCCGTTTGGCCGTACGCAAAGATGCACACGTGGTAGCCGTCGATCGCCGACTGGATAAAGTCCGAGACTTCGCCAAAGACATCGTCTTGGCCGTGCGTTTGGCCAAAAAGCTTGTCGAACGAGAAGCGCATGCTCTTGGCCGTCGACGAGATCACCGATGTCTCCTCGTCCACGACCCAGCTCGTCTTGAGCTTGGCATAGTCGCCGTCCGACGGCAAGAACGGACGCAAGCGCACGTGCACGCGGACGTTGCCTCGCAGCTCTTGGATCGTGTTGTGCATTTGACGCCGCAAAATGTTGCCTACCTCGTATAAGTATCAATGTGTCAATATGGCAGCAACAAAATCGTACCATCGTGGACTTGACGCTCGAGCTCAACGACCAGCGACGTCTGCGCCGCCAGCTGCGTCCGCGCCTCGAAAAAGTCTTCGGTGAGTTTTTTGAACTCCGAGTCGTCGACCGCCGACCGCACGACGATGGGCGCTGTGGGCGTCGCCGACGCCAGGGCCTCGCGCCGTGCGATCGCTTCGGACGTCGAGACCCGCGAGAGGACACGGTTTTCGGTCTGCAGCATGCGCATCTACGGACAATAATGTCATTGTTGAGCAAGACCGGAGGGCGCATGCTGTACCTCTTCGCCGACCGAGTGCATCTTCTTCTCATACGCCGCCTTCATCTCTTGCAGCCGCGCTTCGCAGCCCGTTTGAACAGCCACCATTTGCGCGTACAAGGCCGTGTTGTCGGACGCGAGCTGGTCTTGGGCGAGCTGGAAGTGCTCACGGCGGGACTTTTCCTCGGCCAGTGACGCCTATGCAAGTTGATATATATATATATATATATTGCGCTACAGGGATCGAAGCGTGTACCTTGAGCGACGTGACTTGGTCGGTCCACGCATGCCGCTCGACATCGATTTCGGCGAGCTTGGCCTCGAGGGCATGCACGGTCTCGTGGAGGCCCGCCGTGTCCTTCTCTTTGGACGCCACGACTTCGTTGGCCTTGGCGAGCTGCGACGACACGTGCACGATTTCCTCCGTCAGCCGCCGGTTCTCCTTGATCATGTCGGTCGACTTTTGCCAAAACGACTTGGCGGTCGTGTTTTCTTCGTCTTGGAGGCGCCATTTTTCCTGGAGATCGGCCAGTTCCTTCTTGACGGCCGTGTGGTCGATTTGCAGCTGCGTCCATTGCAGTTCGAGCTGCGTCCTGTCGGCCTCGAGCGCTTTGCGCTGACTCGCTTGCGTCGCGACGGTCGCCCACGCGTCGTGCGTCACTTTGGACACTTGCGCCGTGTAGTGCTCGCGGAGCTGCGCCAAGTGGAGCTCGTGCGCCTTCTCCTTCTCGAGCCACTGCGCCTGGTACTTGGCCACGATGTTTTGCGTGTTGCGCTCCATGGCCGTGCGGACAAACTCTTGCATCGACGAGTCGAGCGTCTTGATGACCGGGTCGTTCTCATCGTGCTCGAGCACCGACGGCGTCGTGGACGACAAGGAAGACTCGGGGCCACTTGGCTCGCCGGCTTTGGGCTCATCCTGGCGCAGTGCAGCAAACGCCTGCGCGGCCTCGGCGTGGACGTTGGTCAAGTCCCGCTCGATGGCCTGGCACGTCGATGCAAACGATTCCTTTTGCATGTGCAAGTCGCGGAGCCGGCACTTGAGCCGGCGAATGTACTTGTCCTGCGACTCGAGGCGCACCTTGGGGTCCATCGACCGCGGGACGACGGACGCGAGCGCCTCTTCGATCTCCTTCTCGGTCGTAAAGATCGACTTGTACGCATGGCGGACCGTGTTGGCGTCGTGCGAGTCGTTGCCCGAGCTTGAGAAGGCGCGCGTGAGCACGGGCGGCGACGGCAATGGCGCGGGCGTCGGTGGTGGCAGCACGGTCGGCGGTGGCGGCGGCTCGGTGAGCACGACGCTCGGTGGCACAAGACGCGACGGAAGACTCATGCGCGGCTGGCGCGCACTGGGGGTCTTGGCCGGCGCGGGCTCCTTGGAGAAGGCGAGGTCGACAGCAGCCGCGATCGACCCGCGCTTGGCCGCCGCCGAAGACGATGTCGACGAGGACGTTGCCGCCGTGCCTTTAGGAGATGCTTTAGTCATCGTGCGCGCACGGACAGAGGCACTACGAGGAACGGCGGATGGCAAGGACGACGGCGGCGTCGCGCGGGCCGCGGCCGCAGGTGGCGCGATGGCGGCGATGGCCGTCGGCGCGCGCAGCAGTGACGTGCGCGTCGTGCCTACAGGAAGCGACTGGCGCTGCTCACGCGACTTCGTCGAGGCTGTGGTCGAGGCTGCGGCCGCGCGCGCCGTCGTGGTGCTAGCGCGCGACCGCGACGCGTTCGTGTCCCGGACGGGAATCGCCGACGACCCGCCGCGGGCGACTGTCCCGATGCGGCTCGTGGTCTTGGTCGTTCGCTTCGGCGGGTCGGCAGCTTTGGGCGACTGCTTAAAGTCGTCGGTCGTCGACGACATGGCAAAGCTGTCGTCCGTGGCCCACGAGATCTCCGAGTACTCGGACGTCGTATCGGAGAAGTCGAGTGGCTTGCATAGGCCCGGCTCGGCCATGCTGCGTGGAGGAGGAAGGGTTGCGGCCAGCGCGTCAGCGTCACCAATGGACGCGCGTCGGCGCAGGATCGTCGCGATCGAGACGCGGGTCGCGCCTTCCAGCAGCGCTTCGGTCATCGCCTTGTCTTCCTCGGTGCCCTGTCCTTGGCCTTGCAGCGTCGCGAGCGTCAAGTGCACTTCGCGGTCGAGGTCGTCGTCGCCGTGCCCATCCCCCATGCTACTCGGTAGTGCGTAAGTGGTCGTCGGAAGCGGGCGAGCCAAGTGGCGTGCGATGCGTTTCTCACACGAACCACCACTGGCGAAGTGGAAGAAGGCCATTCGCCAGTACAGTGTACTCGGCACCAGCTGCTCGACCAAATACCTTGGTTTTTGTATGCTCCTTGCCCGAATTTATCCCACTGTGTCTTCTGGGCCCAATCAGCTCGAGCGCACTTGGGTGCGTGCGAGCGGATCGAGCGCCGCGCACGCAGCAGCATTACGGTGCCATGGCCCAGACGCAGGCCGCATGCGTCGCGCTGGCGGCAGCATTAGCAGACCCCGCGGTAATCTCGGCGCCGGCGCCACAAATTTTGGAGCTTCTATGCAGTTGAAGCTGGCGATCTGGGTGGCGCCAGCCAAAGCTTCTCTGAACTGGTGCGAACAAGCCCAACGGCGATCTGCCAGCGGTGCGAGACCCGTCATCGCGGCGAACGGGTCAGTGTAGCGGCCAGCGTGCTACACTGTACTGATACGTGCATCAAGTCGGGCTCGCCGTGCTGTGATGGATTCCGGTACAGCGCGGCAGGTGGTGGATCTCGCCGGGAGGCGGCTGCTTGGGGGCAGACGAAGCAGACGAAGATGGTGATGGTGACATCGTCATGGCTCCTGCTTGCACTCTGAAGTTGCACTTGGCGCTACGAATCTCAAGTCCTCTCGTATCCGGATTCGAGTACATGTCTCCAAAGCGTCTCGATTGCAGTACAAAACATCAAGATCGTCTCAACCGTGCGCAGCAGGAATGGACGCTGGGTCGACCGGCATGGTCCACATGAGGTCATCGCCACGAGGTGGGACGCCTTGGCCGAGTGGAGTCGTACGCTTGTATATACTACAGTACGACTGTACCTGGTGTATGTGTCTTGGTTTGGTACGTTTGTTCCGACGACGTGCCCCTCAACCAGTCCACCTCTCTCGCGACGCAGCAGTGTCTGTAACCGAGCTCGACACATCGGTTCAAGCTCTCAGTGCTGGTTGCTGCCAGCTCGGCCAAGTCGATTGATGGCACCGATCGAGCTCCGAGCGGCTCCGGGCCGTACAACCTCATTTTGGCTTTGTTGTCCGCCGCCTAAGTGCAGTTCGGCGCTGGGTCGCATTCCAAGCCTTGCTGCGTCGCAGCTCACTGGCAGTCAAGGCCTCCGTCGTGACTGCACTCGTTTTGGTTGGTATCAATATTGACCTCCCGGACAATGGTACGGCACGGTACATATATGTGGCCGACGGGCGACACTCTTGGGACTTGGCCGGCGCTTGCATTTTCCTGGCACCGATGGAAGGCAACGCTGCGTGGGCGCTCGCGGGCTTGACGACGGTCGCCGCTGCCGCAGCCGGCTACTACATCGCGACGCATCATGGGCGCAAGGCGCAGCGCAGTGGCTCGACGACCGGGCCCTCGGTAAACGTCGCGCGCCCTCGCCATGGCTTGACCACACCATGTAGGGGCCCATGACGCACCTGGATTTGCACTTTGAGCACGCCGCCGCCTACGTGGCATCGAGCAAGAAGCTCTCGAACGAAGATGTACGCCATGCAAAGCCGATATCGACGCTCATTCTTGTCGAGTAGAAGCTCGTCTTGTACGCGTTCTTCAAGCAGGCGACGACAGGTGATTGCAGTGCCCCGAAGCCGTCCGCGATCGACTTTGTCGCCAAAGCCAAATGGTGCGTCCCCTCCTTCACCGCTCGATGGTCGATACTATCCCATTCAGGGACGCTTGGACGGGGCTGCTCGGCATGAGCCGCATCGAAGCCCAGAAACGGTACATTGAAGTGGTGTCATCGAGCTGCAAAGGCTACGCGTTCGGCGTCCCGCTTGCCGACGCCGTCGGTAGCAATACGAGCGACGACGAGAGCGACGACGGTAGCAGCGGCGGCGGCTTTGCCATGGGCGGCGCCGCCAGCCAAGTTGTCGTCGACAAGTGCGTCCCCACTCGTTTCGGCTACCCCTTGTTCCAACACAAACATCTTTTAGGACAACCAAGGAGTGGCAGGGGGTCGAGAACGCCTTCCACTATGCAAGCACGGGCAACGTCGACGAGGTGCAAGCAATCTTGGCCGCCAACGACTGCGCGATCGACGAGCCGGTTGGACCGACGTACTGGGAACCCGCTCCAAATGAAACGACTCGGTAGGACGACGATGGCCGGACGATGCTGCATTGGGCCGTTGACCGCGCGCAGACTGACGTGGCAGCGTCGTTGCTTGCGCAGGGCGCCACCGTGAACGCGCAGGTACGCCATCTCTCCGTTGTCGCTCTGACCTGTGCGTAGGACAAGGACGGGATGACGCCTCTGCACTACGCAGTGTTGTGCGAGCACTTGCCGCTCGTCGACCTCTTGGTAGGACGATCCCAGCGCCCATGGGATGGAGATGGTGATGGGGCTCGGTACGGTGTAGATGGCCCACGGAGCTGATATGAACCTTGGCGACGCCGACGGCGAGTCGGCGTATGCTAGCGCATCGTCGTCGCTTCGCGCCCACCTCGATGCGCTGACCAAGTAGGTAGACTCGTGTCGTGGAAGAAGCGCTATCATGGTATTACAAGCCGCTTTTATAAGACTACGTCGACGACGGCAAGACCTAATCTACTAGTACGTCTCTTGCCGCCCGCGTCGCAGTTGCGTGGTGGGTATGGGTAGGTCGGTGTCTTAAAGAAACGCATCTTCGTTCTGGTCGTCAATCTCCTCGGCGTACTTGATCAAGTCTACGTGGTGCACGACCGGCTTGTTGCGGGGCGAGAGGCTGCGGAGCGACGTCATGGCACGCGCAAAGAGCTGCTCACGTTCATGCAAAACGTCCTTCGACATGATGTGCAGGCCCTTTCGAGAAAACGTCGTGTCCAAGACCAGCGGCGGCAGCGTCATCATGATCGGGTCTTCCTTGAGCGACACGCTCGGCGAGAGGAGGCGGGGCGCGACAATGACAGGCATATGGACTTCAGGCTGCTTGGCGACAGTCACGTGGAGGTCAGGCGTCGCCGTCTCCTTCTTTGTAGGTTCGTGGTGCTCAGGCAGCACCTCGGACGCGACGGTCGACTGAGCGCGCACCTGGTGCAGGCCCATCGCGCCTTGGTGCAGGAAGACGGGCAGGAAGACGAGACCCAAGCAGGCCAGGAGGTACAGCTTCCACGGCTCCATGCGCGCGAGCATGAGCGTGATGCCCGAGAGGCTGATGCAGCCGAGGATGACATGGGCGTTGGTGTGGAGGTAGGCCTGGGCGCGCAGGGCGGTCTTGGTCTCCGAGAGCTCGCGGAGCATCATCATCGTATGTGTATCGACGGCTTGGGCGCGGGCTGTAAAATGCAGAAATGTATTCAGACCAGTGTCCCAACCACGTCGACCCGAAATTAGCGCTGCGTTGACACATTTCATTGGTTGAAAACCTACCCATTTCAAGCATTTTAACCAATCACAGCTCGCCAAGGAGGCGCTCCCACACTTGTATAGAACGGTCTCCGTCTCTATTTTTGTCACCGAGCCGTTGGCCCAATACAATAAAATAAAGATGATTACATAAGATCACAAGATCTGGCTTGTGCGGACAAAATTTTAAAAATGCTGCAACCAGATGGAGCCGGATACGAAGCGAACGCAGTTGCCATTACGTCACACGTTCCAAACCGCAGTGAAATTTTATTGCTCACGTTTCCCACATAGAATAACATACAAACAACAAGACGATCAAAAACCACCCAGGCGTGGGATATAGCAGCGGCCTGGGATTGGCTGGAGCCTCCGAGGAGACATGGGTGTGGCGGCTCGTGCGCGCTCCCAGAGCGATTGGCGGCGATCGCATCATCCGGTGAACGGCCGAGAACGGACGCGGCTTCGCATGGGCCTCGCTCTGATGAATGGCCATCGGTACCGCAGTATCGGATACACCTCACCATGGTGTGAGCGTGCATGCATATTGCTGGACACTATTGCGCATGGTTGTCGACCATCCATACGCCACCCAGCGAAAAAGAATTTCAATTTTTGACCACAAGATCCCCTGCAATGGCGGCGCAGTCGCCGGTTCGGTCATATGCATACCGATACAAGTACCAAAATGTACAGATCCAGTACGCTAGCAAGACGGTGTAATCATCATCGTTGGAGCCTGCAGCATCGAAGCGCTCCGTACACAGTACTCGGCGGCGACACTTTGCCGGCTGAGATGCTTCGAATAATCGAACGATCTCACGCAGAGCAGAGACACAGCACTATCTGAGCAGGCGCTAGCGTGTACGAGCCTTTAAACTACCTGGTCTGCGCGTGGACTACGTGTAGGTCGACGATGATACGAGAATGAGCGCAATGTGTTGGGCGATCGTCGCGCTGCCACGTCGGTTGCGCTGGCCGATCACCCCCGTGGCAAATTACGTGCGGTTGAAGTTGTCGTTTTGTCCGGATAACGCAGCCCAGACTCAGAACTCTGAGTATAGAAAACAAGTGGCTTGCGTCTTTAATGCCGTTGAAGGATTAAAAGAACAACAAATCGTGAAAAAGACACCATGGATTCATTAAAGACACATGATACACAGCATTGAAGAAGCCCCGCATCTGAGAATTTCACCAGAATATAAAATAAAATAAAAATCCGTGGACCATCTGGGCCAGCTGCAATCTGGGACCAAGATTCAATTCCATCGCGATGGCAAGCAGCAGCAAGGCCAGCATGGGGCCGGCGCGGGACCTCGTCGGGTACGGCCGCGCGGGCTGCGACCCCAAGTGGCCAGGCGGCGCCAAGCTCGCCGTCCAGTTTGTTATCAACTTTGAAGAAGGCGGCGAGAACTGCATCCTCGAAGGCGATGCAGGCTCCGAGCATCTCCTCTCCGACATCGTCGGCGCCAGCTCGTACGCTGGCGCCCGCCATATGAACATGGAGTCGCTCTACGAGTACGGCAGTCGCGCTGGCTTTTGGCGCCTCCACCGCATCTTCACGACGCGCCAGCTTCCTTGCACGGTCTTTGCGGTCGGCCGCGCGTTGGAGCAGCACCCGGACGCCGTCGCCGCCATGGTCGACGCCCAGTGGGAAATCGCGTCGCATGGATTCCGCTGGATCGACTACCAAAACGTCGACGAGGCCACGGAGCGCCAGCACATTGCGACGACAGTGCAGACGCACGTGCGCATGACGGGCAAGCGCCCCGTGGGCCTCTACCAGGGCAAGCCCAACGTGCGCACGCGCCGCTTGGTCGTCGAAGAGGGCGGTAAGTGGATCATCTGTTGCTGTCATCGTCAGAAAGAGGAGGATGCGCTGATGGGAATGATATGCCACAGGGTTTTTGTACGACGCTGATGCGTACAACGACGATTTGCCCTACTGGACGACCGCGTATGGCCGGCCGCACCTGATTGTGCCCTACACGCTCAACAACAACGACATGAAGTTCGTGTCGCCGGGCGGCTTTGCCAACAGCGATCAGTTCTTCGTCGCGCTCAAGGACGCCTTCGATACGCTCCTCGCCGAGGGTCGAAGTGGCGCCCCCAAGATGATGTCGATCGGTCTCCACTGCCGCATTGTACGTAGTGCATGCTTCGATGGCTGTCATAGACGTGCGTAGGTGGGCTTGCCGGCGCGCACGGCCGGGCTCTTGCGCTTCCTCGATTACATGGAGCAGTTCCGCGACGAGATTTGGGTTTGCACTCGCGAAGCCATTGCGCTGCACTGGCACGCCCATCACGCGCCGCCCCGCAGTGCCAAGCTCTAAGCTATCAACATGCAAGCAGGACGCTACTGACAGTCGCATAACCGAACTCGTGCGCTCTTCTCGCAGATCAGTTCTTACCTAGCGAACGTCAGGATTTGGTTCAGGCAGGTGACGACAGCAGATACCACGTCGACATTGGTCCTCTTGGGCTGGCACACCGAACACGAGGCTTGGCTTGTTGTCGTCGGGTGGTGAGATGCACAGCTGCTGGAGCTCTCAGATGCCGGCAGGACGCAAAAGGCCAGAAGAATACCATCGATGTTGGCGGCGCAGGCACTCGCCTGCCATCTACCGTCGGGCCAAGTGTGTGCGCCTCTCGGCATGGCTTGCCACAGCACTACACCACCGACAGCTAGCCATCGACAATCGATAAAAAAGCGGCAACCCCGCGGTGCACTCTGCAGTGGACTACCTAGAGAAGCATCGACCGCTGCGTGGCGCGCCAAACTGCCATGTGCAGGTGAAGGAGAAGCTTTGCCCACTCATGACCCCGCCTGCGCACCTGCCGGGCAATTGCCAACTGATGCAAATCTCGTCAACCACTTTGCTCGTGCAGAAGCGAGCCCATGGCGCCATCCATCCGAGCTCACAAACCTCAGGACCCAATGTCTCTACTCGAGTGCTAGTAAAGGAGATGCGAGTGTACGCATCAGTACCTGTAGCAGCATCCCGACTACCATCCTAGCTGCCGTCACCACAGGCAAACGAACGAGCACATGTGGTCCAAGCACAAAGCTACGCCATTCGACCCACACGTCGCCACCAGACGTAATCCTGCAGGTACTACTAAAAGGGTGCGGGAGCCTGCGACCGACAAGCACGCTGCCAACGGCAACCTCCTCGAGTCGTCAGACCTATGTCGATGCTCACTTGCAGATGACCTTTGTCGCCAGCCTCTCCGTGCAGTGACGCTGGCATCGACCGCGTCAATGAAATACGAGGCTCACTTGGAGAAAGATGGGCGATTCTTCGCTCGACGCCTTCTCGCCATGCGCCAACCGCATTTGGAACGGGTGCCCGAACGCCAAAAAGTCCTTCTCGATAAGGACCTGGAAACCATGCATCGTACGGTAGTATGGGTCCAAGCACAGCTGCGA